GTGCATGTTATAAATTAATATAAATATAATTATGTTTTAATAATTGAAAAATCTCTCGATTTAAAGCTTGAGGGATGTGCGATGTGGTTCACATCCTGTGCCAGTTACTCTTAATTTTTGGGACGTGATACTTATAGGACTATTTGTGAAGTTCTCTTCTTTAGTTTCAGTAATGTTCAAGAGTCTCAAGACCTTCAGGTAATTGAAAAAAGCATGATGTGCACAACACTAACTATATATGTTTGCTAATTGCATGGGTCGAAATTTTGCATTAGTCGTTGAAGTAGAGTGGTTTTCATTCTGCTATGCTGGGTTCTTGAAAGCGCAAACTACTGTTATTCGAAGATAGGCCAACATGATTCGGTACAATGAAAAAATTGTTTACTAAAATTTACTTTCGATGCTTCTCTGTTCTGCATTCCCTGCATACTAATATTTTTAGATATTTAATTTCAGCACCGAAGAAATTTGATTCCCCAAGCTCGATATGCACCAGCTTTGATTGGACAGCTCTTTTGAAAGTGAATTTTCCTAACATGTCTTTAAACTTTCAGTTTCTTATTCAGATGCTGGCATGAAGAATGCATGCTAATTTTTTCTTGTTCACATTTGCTGTGAATCAATGTTTGCTTTTACCTGTTGATAAAAAAAACTATTTCTTGTTTTGTATTCTTTACATCTATTAGAGTATTTGATAAACAAGATGTTTGAAGTTGGAATTTCTAAAGGTCTACGAGAAGAACTGACGTGCTTGAAGTTGAATATCATTGAGTAGGTGCAAATCTTTCTTCTTGAAGCGTGCATGTGTACGATTATGTCAAAGTCTAAATGATTTATTGGTGTTTAGCTCTCTGGCAAGCAGTTTCATGCATAATGACAGAGCTTGCTTATGTCTATGAGATGGTAAATTCAATTTCACCGGCTTCAACTTCATTAAAATGGTGACTATTGTTTGTCATATTTATGGAAACTAATGACATGGAAATGTATTTTGCATTTGTGCAAAATTTCCCTTGAATTGGGTGGGCGAAAGTTTAATTTAAAAGTAGCAGTAAAATTTGTGTTAATGTGGACGTGCTGAAGCATAAAACTGATTTAAACAGGCCTAAGTAAGTTATCGGGCCTCATCATTGTCACAAACAAAATTATCCATTAACTTCATTTTAATTGTATATTTCTCCTTTGAGTGAGTGTCTTGCTGTTACTCGGTTCCTATGTTCAGATGTAAGATTAAAATATTGCAATAAAGACTAAATGGACACTAATTACCTTTTTATTTACTTTCTTCTTTTTACTGTTTCACTTCTACTCCCAACTTATCACAGTTCCCTGTCCTTCAGCTCTTGTCCCAAAATGTAGTATATGAAAGTTAGAATGTTGGATTATTTACTTGCCCTTTTAAGCGGTTTTAAATTAATCTTGACAATAATTCCCCTCAAAATAGTGATTTTTTCAATTCATTTAGAAGACTGAAAACTTATATTGTTCCTTTCTTACAAGTTTTGAACAGAGGACAATTCATCTTGAGAGAGAGGACCTATACATCGTCATTTTATAAAGTATAGGAAGATTCATAAGGTTGGGGACTTTGGAAGGGCAGCAAAATGATATTGTAGAAAGACAGGAAGAGAGAAATAAAGGAGAAAATAAAGTATAGGGGAATAGGAAAGAGAGATGAGAGAAGAGAGAGAAAGGAAAATAGAGAATGGAGAGAAACTGGACCATATTATTGTCAAATGCCTCTACAACCTACTGAACACAAAGCACCATGGATGCATATCTAAACATTTGTTGAAAGATTCACTTTGCCCATCCGGTTGACGATGGTAAAAGCTAAGCTCAATTTCAAATGGGTACCTTGCAACTTTAACAGTTGCTGCCAAAATTGAGTAAGATTAGAGTCGATAATAAGGGTCAGGTTTGGAAGGTCGAACTTGTAAGTCCTGTTTAAATAAGGGTTCAGGCTTTGAAAATTATTTTTTTTCAAAGGAATCGGGCTTGAGGGCCTGGCCTTGATAAACCCTGTGAAAAAGGGCTTGAGCCCGAGCAATCCTCCAAGTCCTGATAAACCTGATTATTTTATACATATATACACATACATACATATATTTGATTTACAATGACATAATTTGGTTACTATTTATTGTAGGTGATCAAGAAGAAGTTGTAAAAGTAATTGACATTAAATTTTCACCTCCATCTTCAACAAGTACGCTTACATCGAAGGGATCTAATATTTTATTTGTAGATGATAAGGATAAGTAGGATTTGAGTTTTGATTGATGAATGTGTGTTGTTTAGATTTCTAAATATAATGTTTAATTTTTAAAATATTGTGTGAATTTTAATTTTTTTAATTTCAAAATATTTTAATTAATTTATAATGTCTAATTTTATTTTAATTTATTTTATTTTTTTGAACAAGGCTTCCAGGCCCGGCCATGAGTCCTTTACATAAGGGCTGGGCCTCAAAAAAGAAACTGAAAATGGACAACTGGGCTCAAGGGTCGGGCCTACCCATATTCCCAACTATAAGTAAGACCTTGTCCTTATCTGAAACAATGGGAGGAGGAATTCCACATAACATGACTATATTATTGACAAATGCATCTGCAACCTGTTGACTAGGGTAAGAAGCCCTTGAAGGAATAAAATGTCCAGATTTAGATAACCTATCAACAACAACCCTTATGATAACAGAAAATCCCCTAAAATTTGGCAATCCAATTAAGGATTTAACCCTTTTAATAAATTCAATCTTTTTTATCAATGCATGACATGAGAAAATTCTGATACAAAAGATAGATGATATTAATTGGATTTAAGGATATTTTTTTTCCACTGATATTTCAAGAAAAAAGATATGGATTTCTCCCCCCTCCAAAGAAAAACTAGCGGGGGAGGGGTGGATGTGGAATTTTTTTCAACTATCATATAAATGACCCACAAATAATGAAACTAATTGCTGAAAAAAAAATTAACGAACCTTGGTGGCTCTTTCTTGACTACAAACTCTTCTTTATAATATAGGCAAATATTAAACAAATAATCACAACTTGTACAGAGACTTTTATTTGTGATGTGATGCACATTAAATTGTATTAAAGGAACCTCATATGAAAAAAAGTGAACGCATCATTTTCTACAAATTATTTGAACAATTTTTTTAAAAAATAAGGAAGACAAAAGATTAGTCCCTACGAATTAAAAAATATTGAAATAATCCGAAGGGCATAAAAAAAATTGTCATGTACTTTTTAATAAATTTAATATGGAAGAATGAGCCCACTTATAGCAAGGAAACAAAAGTCCTTTTATTAAATCTTTTTTCTGCTATTTTATAATTTTATAATAATAAATTTTTTATTATTTATCTGTGTGAAATATGTAAGTATTGACCTTTTAGACAGTGAATGATGTGCAAGAAGGTGTATGATGAAATTTCAAAATAGTGTCCCATATTATTAATAAGAGTTATTATCATATATGAAGAAATTTTAAAATATAATGGTGCAATGTTAACATAATCTATCATCTTAAGAATTGGTGCTTGAAGCCTCTACATATTTATCAAATTGGAGTTAATCAGTTTTCTAAATGCTAATGTTACATGAACACTGTGATTATTGATTATTATATCAACTACTTATTTTGAGTTCAATTTGTGAATATGAATGTATATTAACTTATTTAAATTTATATATTAGTTTATATATTAGGTCTTTGGTTTCTTATATAATATTTTAATATTGAGATAAAAATGTAATAATTTCATAACGATTAGCTTGATCACGATCAAACTTACAAATTATGACTATTGCCGTGAGAAATTCAATAACTGTTGAGATTGAGGCTCCATGAAGGAGGGGGAGATTGCACCTAACTCATTAAAGAATTTATGTCCTCAAAATTTAAAATTCCTTCAAATTGTCTCGATCATAATTTCGTTAAATTGATCATTCTCATAGAATTTAGAGTAAAATACAAAGATCTTCATTTCATTTTGCTAAAATTACAAAGAAAAAAAAGTCGATCAGTCATGGACCTTTTATGATATGTCACATGTGTAGAAGAATTAAGGTGCCGTGAATAATGGTTTGCAGAGTCATCTTATAAAGAATTTTCAAAATGGGTCCCATATTAACAAATTTTATTGACCATATGTGACTAGGATTTGATGGGAATCAAATGTAAGGGCTTTTCTTTTTTTTTTCTTTTTTGGATACAAATTCAAGGACTTTCTGTTTATAATTTAAATTAGCATCAAATTTCAAATCTGAAATAATTATACATGAACAAAGTAATGAATGTCTGATGGCCTGATGCTCAAAATTAATAATAATTAACTATCATTATTAGTAATTAATCTGAAATTTGAGTAATCACATACAATTGGTAATTTGGATTTTTTTTCTTTTGTAAATTTAAAATGTTCGTAAGACAGATTTGGAAAATATGTAAGATACGCTATGATGTTTGAAGACAGACCAACTTATGTAATAATAATATTGTTTTATAAAAACAATGCAATAATAAGATTGAATGTAATTCAGATTTTGTAATAGAATCTTAATTATTTTTATTTTTCCGATGGTCTGCTAGTTTAAATGAAATAATAAAGAAACTAACCAATGTTGCTCATACTTCAAAACACGTTGAAAAAAAACGATAGTGATAACAAATCACTTAAATTACATAAAAAAATATTCAGGCTATTACATTTAAAAGAAAACATAATACGCTGATCTTATTGTCAGTACAATACTTAATTGACATGATACAACAAGCCAAACAAAGAACCAAAAAAAAAAAGACAATGAAACCACAACAACATCCAAATCCCCAATCTCTAGCTGCCTCATTCTTCTTCAATGTGCATGAGCCCTCCTTCTTGTCCCTTTTGCTTGTTTCATATGTTGACTTCCAAAAATTTTAACAAGCCAATAAGGTTTCCCAATTGAGAACACAACATATCCCATGAGGATTCCAAATACCATTCCTCATCCATATCCCAAGGCTACTGGTTTCCAATCAAATCCAAATTTCTCATGAGATTCAAAAGTTGATGAAGATCCATCCTTAATATTGCAAGTTTTTGACAATGGAACACCACACAATCCTACATTTCCCTCATATGAATCACTTTGGAATGTATCAAATTGTTTACCTCTTGGTATGTTCCCCTCAAGCTGATTTTGTGAAAGGTTCAAAACAGCAAGAAAGTTGAGATTTGTCAATTCTTGAGGAATCTCACCCACAATCTTGTTACATGATAGATCTAACCATTCTAGACTTGTCAAATTCCCCATTGATTTTGGAATAGAACCAGTGATTCTATTGTGGGAGAGGTTTAGCCCTATTAGTGCATGTAGCTCTCCAATGGCAATTGGAATCTCCCCATCAAATTTATTACTTGACAAGTCAATGGTGGTGAATATTGTCAAGATCCTTTCCAACTCTATGGTGTAACCTTTCCATGTGATCACCACTGAATCCTTATAAATAGAATAATTTTTATTTCCCATGTATTGCGCACCAACTTCAATACTATCTATTTTCATCATTCCTTTAAGCTCCTTGATGTATGTTGTTGGCAAAGATCCATTAAAGTGGTTGTTGGAAATGTCAAAAATCCTTAACTTAGGAAATGGATTCTTGGTATTGGAACTAGGAATGGCCCCATAAAACCTATTATCTCTTAAAACAAGTACTTGCAACTCTAGTAAAGCATCAAGCTAACAAGGAAGTGTATCCTCAATCTCATTCTGTCCAACATCAAATATTTCTAGCTGAGTACAATGACCCAAAGACATAGGCAATGATCCCTTGAATCGGTTGCTGTTGAAATGCAAAGTTTGCAGGACATTACTCTTTGAAAAATTGTTCGGTAAAGTTCCAGAAAAATTATTCATCTGTAGATCTAGAACAGAGAGATTTGGGAGGGCAACAAGGCATTGTGGAATAGGGCCTGACAAGTTGTTGTGAGACAAGTTGAGTATCTCAAGTGAGCTTGCATTGCAAAATAGAAAGGAAATATCTCCCTTAAATTTATTGTTTGAGACTGAAAAAAATTCAGCTCCAAAGAATGGAATTGGGAGGTTTCCTTCTAACTCGTTAAAGCTAAGATCAAGAAATTCAACACTCATATTTGAAAGGAATGAAGGAACTTGACCACTGGAATTATTATTATTGAGTTCCAAATAGCGTAATTCACTAAGCTTCCCAAATACATTCGACATTCCACCACTAAAATTATTCATTGAAAGATCTAAGTATTGGAGATGTTCAATATTTCCAAGTGATGATGGGAGTTGACCACTAAAACTATTATTGGAAAGAGATAAGGAAGTGAGATTTACTAGTGTTGAAAGAAATGAGACCCCACCACTAAAATTATTGTTTGAAAGATCTAACTCATGAAGACATTCAAGGTTGGAAAGGGATGGGATTTGACCACTAAAGTTATTATTGGAAAGATTTATCCAAGTGAGATTTACAAGTGTTGAAAGGAATGAGATCCCACCACTAAATTTGCTTGACGAAAGGTCCAAAATGGCGAGTTGAGTGAGATTCTTGAAACTTGGAGGAATAGGCCCTTCAAATTGGAAATTTTTGAGATCTAGGTCTTCAAGAGACTTCAAATGGCCTATAGAATCTAGTATCTCTCTTGAGAAAGGTGTCCCCTCAAGAACCAAACCCCTTAGAGGAGAGCTTCAGTTGAGCTTTGAAAGTTGAACCTTTGCATTTGTATTCCAACTCATGTCTAGATATTTAAGATTTTCTAAATAGAAAATGCTATTTGTGATATCACCTTGCAAAGAAGTTTCTTCAAAAGAAAGATAAATTAAAGATGACGACAAATTCATAAGATGAGAAAGAGAGTTTGGTGTAATGGAGGACATGTTCACATAATCTAACCTTAGTACCCTTAAATTGGTTTAGTTTAGAATCAGCTTTTCCCAAGTAGATGGTTCAAGTCTAAGTAATGAGCTCCCCATTATACCAGAACTCCAAGACAAGTCAAGTGAGGCCAATTTAGACAACTGTGACATTTCAGATGGGATTTCACCAAAAAAATTATTTTGTCCTAGTCTTAAGTAAGTGAGATGTTGTAGGTTTGAAAGGAATGAGATCTCACCACTAAACTTGTTAGAAGAAATGCCCAAATAAGTTAGTTGGGTGAGATTCTTGAAGTCTGTAGGAACCTACCCTTCAAATTTACACCAACTTAGATCCAAATGATTAAGATATTTCAACTGGCCAATGGAGTTAGACATTGTTCCTGAGAAAGATGTGTCACCAAGATCCAAAGTGAAAGAGGAGAGCTCCAATTGGACTTTGGAAGTTGACCATTGAGATTTCTATTCCATGATAAGTCTAGTTCTGAAGATTTTTTAGGCAGAGAACGTCACTTGTGATATTCCCCTGCAACTTAGTATCATGAAGTCTAAGGGAGACCAAAGAGGATGACAAATTCATGAGTAATGACAAGGAGCTTGGTGGAATAGAAGACATATTTACATAATCTAAATTAAGTTCTCGTAGATCAGTCATGTTTAGAATGAGATTCTTCCAAGTGGATGGTTCAACTCTTAAACTCAAAAATTGATCATAAAAGGAAAGCCAATTCCGTGACAAATCAAGAGAGACCAATTTATACAATTTTGATATTTTGGAAGGAATTTCACCAATAAAACGTGAGTGGCTTAAGTTTAGATGCATGAGAGTGGAAAGCTCACCAAATTGAGATGATATGAGAGACCAACTAAAATTATTGAAAGCCAAGTTGAGTGATTGGAGATCAGAAAGCTGGAAGAGGCTACTATTAGGATGGAGTTCACCTTGAAGCCAGCTACAACTGAGATCAAGGCCAATCACATGGCCTGACATGGAGTCACACGTGACCCCATCCCACAAGCAGCAATTGGAATCATTCCCCCATGAAGCCGTCTTTGGGTAAGATGAGTTCCTAAGCTGAAAGGCATAGGAGTGGTCATCAAAATACTCATCACACTCAATTGAAGCTGAGTGATTGAGAGAGAAAGAGTGTTTGAAATGGAGAATGGCAGAGGAGTCATGAGAATTACAAAAAGGGGGGTTGAGAGAAGAAGAAAGGGAAGGAGAAAGAAAGAACAAGTAGAAACAGAGCATCATTGCAAATGCCATAACTCAAGTAGCTAGGAAAGGAATGATTAAGGGAATGATGGATATGGTGCTTCTGGCATCTACAAGATGAAGCTTCATTTATAGAAGGAGTCTCGTAATGGTGGGAGGGACCTACATCAAGACTTTTCCTTACCAAAGAAACCCCTAAGCCCATAATTATTGTGTCTTATTTTTTGTCTCTTGAATTTTCGAAATCTCAATGAAACCAAAACAGTAAGATGTCTAAAATCTTTTTTCTTTGTATTCTTTTAATAAACGTTCTTTCAAAGGACGAATAACAAAATTAGGTTGTGCCTATTACAAATTAAATTGGCTTATCCTCAAACTATAAGATTGATTATTGTACAAAAATTGCTCTGTACTTTTTTCTTATCCGTGCTCTGTTTATACGTGGATGAGATTGTACGGCGAGCCACATCTGGAATTTGCATTCGCATTATTGCTTGACTTGTTTAAAATAAATGAATTCCAAATTTGATTAATCAGTGTTAGTTGATTACAGAACAAAAGAAGCTGTTACTCTTTACAAAATTTTTAAATTCATCTCATGTTCTTTATTTCTTAATTTGCAACAAATTAAAATATAACTTCGTGATGAGGGTAATTTTTCATTAATTAATATCTTAAAATGATACAAATTCGTTTAAGAACGTGGAAAAAGCATGGCGCTGACAGGGCATGTGTGCTTAATATGTACCGTAAATTAATTTTTTTTAAAAGGAAAACGTAGCTATAAAAAAATAAAAAAGGAAAACGTAAAAGGCATGATTCTAACGCGCTTTCTGTTGTTGGACCAAAAAAAAAAAAAAAGCTCTCTGTTGATGTATTTAATTTAGCGATAAACACATTCGTATAAATATTATTTTTGGCCCTAAATTATACATAAAATTGATTGAAACAGTTAAGAACTGCAGTAAAAAGTATTTGAAAATTATATTTTGTAAATATTAAACTGGACCATTGAAAATTTAATCTAATGGCTAAAATGTGCAAAAAAAAAAAATGGAAGAATAAATAATCAAAGAGAAGCCCAGTTTCAACGAAACTAGGTGATATTTTTCACTTGACTTCAAAGTATTTGTTATTAATATAAATATTAAATACAACAAATAAATAAATTCAATTTAATTTTCAGTTGATCACTTAGAAAAATATTTCTTGTTTTTTGGAAAATATTTCATGTACGTAATATATGTCCAAAAGAAGATTGTTCATTTTAATCTCATTCACTCATTAAAAGTAAATGACATGGCATAGAAATATATGAGATATCTAAATTATAGGCTTATAACACCATATAGAAAAAAGGAAGACGAAAAACTTTTGTTGACATTTAAATATACCCTATAATTTGAATAATCTCATTCGCTCGGTAATTTGATTATTAATTTTTATAAATTTAAAAAGTTGGTAAGAAACAACCGGGAAATATGAAAAAAAATGTTTCTAATGCTTGGAGACCTGCCATCATATGTACTGGAATTTTTTTGATTAAAGTATAATTTTGGTCCTGTAACTTTATATAAGGTTTTAATTTGATCTTTTAATTTTATAAAATATATTTTAGTCTTTTAACTCTAAGACTATTACTTTTAAATGATTTTTTCATACCAATCATTGTTATTTTTTAAAAAAATTGAACTTAATAAATCAATATTTCATAATGCTTTTACAATATTTAAAAGCTCAATGTAAAATGTTTTTGTAATGAAATTAACAGTGTTAATGTTAAAAGACTGAAAAAGAAAATATTATTATTGGTCTCTATAATTTCATTAGCTCTTGCTTTTAGTCCATGTATCTTCTTTTCATTGTTCTCAGTTCCTATAGTTTCAATAAGATTGGGTAATGTTTTTTTCTCAAGTTATAACAATGTTAAATTATAGGAACTACAAGGAATGAAAACAAATTATAAAGACTAAAAGTAAATGTAATAAAATTATATAAACTAATGATTGTGTTTTCTCAACTGAAAATACACTTTATAAAATTAAGATTCTAAAATAAAATAGTGTGTAAAGTTATAGGGGTAAAAGTATATTTATCAAAAAAAATTTTATGTTTTTCTTTTCCTCTGTGCACACGCGCACACGGTGAGTGCAACATAAAATAATAAATTTCTTTAAGATTTACTTTAAACTTTGATAATAACTCCACTTATATTACTATGAGAGTTAAAATATTAATCAATTGTTAATGTGTGCGTATCTCACTCTCCCTCACTCGCGTGCACGAATTGTGATTATATTATTGGATATAAATTTAACAATTGTGAGATTCATGCAAAATAAAGTTAGTGAATGACTTTGCCCTCAATATCTCAACTAAACAAAGAATTATTGCGTCTTATTGTTTTCCGTCTTTTGAATCTCTGAAATCTCAACTAAACTAAAATGTCTAAAAACTTTTTTTCTTTTAAATTTCTTAATAAATGTTCTTTCAAAGGACGAATAGCAAAAAATAGTTGTGTCTATTACAAATTAAACGGCGTATCCTCAACCTATAAGATTGACTATTGTACAAAAATGGTTCTGTCCTTTTTTTGTTTTTTTTTTAAATGACTACTCTGTTTATATGTGGATGAGGTTGGGAGCCATCTGGAATTTGCATTTGAATTATTGCTTGACTTGTTTAAAATAAATGAATACTCCAAATTTGATTAATCAGTGTTAGTTGATTAAGAAATTAAAGAAGCTGTTTCTCTTTACAAAATTTGTAAATTCATCTAATATTTTTAATTTCTTATAGTAGCACTATAAAATGATAAAATTTTGTTTAAGAACGTGGAAAAAAGCATGACTCTGACAGTGAATGTGTGCTTAATATGTACCATAAATTATTTTTTAAAAAAAAAATAAACCGTAGCCATAAACGCCCTCGTGTAAATAATTTTCTTGGACCTAAACAGTTAAGAACTGTGGTAAAAAGTATTTAAAAGCATATATTTTGTAAATATTACATCTGCACCATTGAAAATTTAATCTAAGGGATAAAATAAGAGAAGCCAAGTTGCAACGAAACTAGGTGATATTTTTTACTTGACTTCAAAGTCTTGGCTATTAATATAAATATC